CATTTGTTGTACTATTTTGTTCCTTTTCCAATGGGCCTAGCTAAGGGCTGAGATGTGACATTAATTAATAAACACACTGTTATTTAGGCTTCAGGCTTCCAGACCTCAACTGAGCTAAGAACTTGATGAAGCCAGTGGTCGCATCAGGATTATTCGCCTGATAAGTAACAGATAATAATCAGCCCCAGGCCAAAGTGACCAGCCACATCCTGACAATGAACTGCTGAGCTTCTGGGGTTTCCCTTTTCCCATTTTCTTTGCAAAAATAAAAGAAAACCAAGGTAAAAAAACTTGAGAGCTCTTTGCTAGTCTGAAGTCATTTTGCTCCCACCTCTTATTCAAATCATCTCAGGGGCTTTGTTGACATTATCTGCTAACAAGCAGGATCCATCTCTCCAAGCTGCCAAACAACACCCTTCCGCCCGCAGAGATGTGAGGCCCGAGGCCACCTCCTGGCTGCCAGGACAAGCCCTGGCTACCAGGCCAGCTGCCCGCTTCGGGCCTCTGGATGCATTTCCAAAGGGTAATATTTACAGTGTCAGATAGCTGTGGAGCTTAATGGGGTTCTTAATACAGGCATCGTTCATTAAGACAGAAAGCGAAGCCTCCAGGCTCCCTGGCTGCTCTGCCCCTACGCTGCCCACCCGTCTGTCTGCCTCCCATCATTCCCTTCATCAGATACCCTTTCCTTAGCTGGAGTTGATATTTCTTCAGGATCTAGCTAATCCATAAAGCTTGCCTTGCTCTCCCCAGTTCCAAATGTTCTTTATTTGCTCTGAGTTCCTCTGAGGATTTATAGTCGAGATCGTGCATTCTTCAGCTATCAGTAGGGTTTGCAGAGTACTTACGATGTACAAGGATTGATTCAATCTCACATGCCTCACAACCACACTGTGCTAAATACCATATTTGTTTCTTTGTGTCTCCCAAGGATTTAGTGGCACAGATCATTTGTTGTACTATTTTGTTCCTTTTCCAATGGGCCTAGCTAAGGGCTGAGATGTGACATTAATTAATAAACACACTGTTATTTAGGCTTCAGGCTTCCAGACCTCAACTGAGCTAAGAACTTGATGAAGCCAGTGGTCGCATCAGGATTATTCGCCTGATAAGTAACAGATAATAATCAGCCCCAGGCCAAAGTGACCAGCCACATCCTGACAATGAACTGCTGAGCTTCTGGGGTTTCCCTTTTCCCATTTTCTTTGCAAAAATAAAAGAAAACCAAGGTAAAAAAACTTGAGAGCTCTTTGCTAGTCTGAAGTCATTTTGCTCCCACCTCTTATTCAAATCATCTCAGGGGCTTTGTTGACATTATCTGCTAACAAGCAGGATCCATCTCTCCAAGCTGCCAAACAACACCCTTCCGCCCGCAGAGATGTGAGGCCCGAGGCCACCTCCTGGCTGCCAGGACAAGCCCTGGCTACCAGGCCAGCTGCCCGCTTCGGGCCTCTGGATGCATTTCCAAAGGGTAATATTTACAGTGTCAGATAGCTGTGGAGCTTAATGGGGTTCTTAATACAGGCATCGTTCATTAAGACAGAAAGCGCAGGCAAGGTGCCCTTGCTGTTGAGGGAAGGACGACCCAGCACAAGACGCACGCTCCTTCTTGGCTTAGAAATCATGCAGGTCAAGTGCCTTGTCGTACGTTAACAGCCTTTTTAAGTTCCTAGGCAGATTGAGAGGAACGGTTTAGATAAATGAAGGAAGAAAAATCATGCGATCTGTCTTGGTAGCGTAAATGCTGAGACACAGCGGCTGCATTTAAACAGAGCAATTTGCTAAATGAGTGGTTGGCTACTTTCCAGACGGCCAGTGTGACACGGAGCTGGGATGAATATCCTTTATTCAGTCATGCATCTGTCTAGACTGAGACATGAAAGGCCAGGTTTTAGCCACTGCAGCAGGCGCCGCCGCCGCAGCTCTGAAATCCTTACATAAAACATGCTCAGTATTGCCAATGAGGCAGCTTGGCCTGACATCAGCTGGAGAGGATGCGGCAGCATGGTGTGCGCGAAGCCTCAAGGAAAGCCAGCATCTCCACTGAATGATGGCCAGCTCGGAACGGGGGCTCTCTCTGTGCGGGTCTGCCTACTGAATCACGTCACCCACCTATCAGGTGCATGGAGGCTGGTGATCTTAGTAGGAGGAAACATTAATACAAGGTTAGAAAGCAGAAATATCAGTTGCATTCTGTATGCTTTCTTTATGTGCAGTTTTAAATCATTTCACATGTGCTGTATCTTGATTTTTCTAGTTAGCCTGTAAAATTCCCAGGGTAGATGAAAGAGTATTCCTAGTTTTTACACAACCCCATTCTGCTTTCCCTTCTCCCTGCTTCTAGCACTTATTCAATCTTGACTTAAGCACCTGTTTAGAGATGGTATTTCAGAGACGCTGGCTGAACTGGCTAGGAGGTAGACCAGATGACCGCTCAGTTCTGGGGCCTCTGGGTCCATGACACATGTTGGTTGACTGATTTGAACTACGTCAAGTAAAACAGAGCCATTAGATGGGCATCATGCCCAACTTCAATAAAGTAGGCAGTCACAGGACTTCATTAGGCTGTAATGGGGACCTACAGAAGGCAGCTCTATTGACATATTTCTCTCTGGTAAGTTACCCATGCTTGTTTAACTTTTATTATTGCATTGAAAGTTTCCACGGGTGAGAGTTCCACTGTGTTCTTCAGCAAGCCATTCGCGTTCCCCAGCAGGAACGTTCTGACCAGCCAGCGAACAAACCTGCTCCACCCCACCCAGAACCCTCTGGGGCTCTGCACTGGACAGCAGCTCCCGTTTATTTCTGATTCAAGAGGAAGAGTTTAACCTGATGAATCACCAGCAGCACTTCCTGTGACATTCTGGGGAAAACTACAGCTTACTTACAAAGGACTCTGAAGCCCTTCACTTACAGCCACTTGTGATCTACACAGGATGGAAAAATTTGAGTTCTGCTCTGTGCAAAGCTTTCTCACCAATATTTTCCTCTCTTGGAAGTTTCCTATCATCAGGACTACGTCTACCCTAAAGTGAGCCTGAAATAGATGAATTAAAGGAACAGGCTGTCCTAGAGGGGAATATAGCATTCTCCCCCTGCTAGTCTCACCCAGATACCACTTCTTCTGGAACCATCTGAAGCAGTTTCTCATCCTGCAGAGGAAATGATCTGAGGGACTATTTTTTCAATTCTCTAATAACTAGTATCCTTCTAGAAGCATAGGTGAGAAGCTAATGTATACATTCAAGGGATGCCATTGGGCATGGTTGGCCTAGACTTTATTGATGGAGGTCTTAATGGCAAGTGCCCAGCTATGCAAAGGGAATTATTCTAGTATCTAGCATGTTCTAGTAGTAGATATACCAAAAACTCAGAGCAATGAAGTCACTGAAATCTGAGATAGTTACAAATCTGTTTAAGTTCTTGCAATGAGGAAATAGCTCTGAAAATATATAAATTATTAACCTTGTTAAGAAACAGGTTTCTTAGTAGGTTAAACGTAACATCAACAAATACTATCAAATGATCATTAAGTGTATGACCACAAGCAACAATCTAAAGAAGTCCGAGGACTGTCACTTATCACAGCAGTTTTTGTGATATGCCAGTCATGAACCAAGGTCCCCTGGCCTTTGTAAGGACACTGCAAATGTAGCTTCTTTTATCTTGTGTGTGGCTGGGGCCCCAGTTTCAGGGATATATGACTAGGAAGAGGCGTGCAAATCGTGATGCTCTTGAAGGCTGCTGAGGATGATGCGGTGATGTCAGATGCCAAGACAGGCAGGGCCGGTGCTTGTGCCTTAGGAACAAACTTACATAATTTCTCTCTCAGGCACAACTCTTGTCTTTGCTAGATGGCAACATAAGCCTTTGAATGCTACATTCACTTTGAGCCTATTTCCAACCTAAAGAAAATTTGATTTCCTAAAACCAGCCTCGAATGACGATTCCAATACTGTTTGAAGATATCCTGACTTTTTAACGCTCAAATACAGCTCCGCAGAGTCACCCATGATTGACGTCTTTTCTTACGAAAGTGCTGTTAATTAAGAACCATAGGCACTAGCAATAAGGATTATAACGGCAGACTCGGCAAATTGTTCCTGAAATAAAATGCAGGACTGCTTTGCTTAGAACCTAAACCAAAGGCACACAGAACTCTGGCCCATTCACATCTAATCCACTAGGGGGCAGTGAGCGATCGGGTTTCCACCAGGGCTTTGATGACGGTTGCTATATATACACCTGAAGGGTGGCAGGCCTTTTACACAAACTGAGCAATGCCGCAGCGATGACAGGTGCAGGGAGCAGCCAGTCATTGCTACCAGCACAGTCTGTCAGAAGGATGAAGTGAAATGAATAATTTGCATTTTTACCAATGAACTTGCATTAGAATGAACAGGCAGTGTTGCTTGGATCTGTGCTGGCTTCTGCTGGACCGCACCCAGGATTGCAGTAACGGGGACAGACACAGCCAGGGAGCCCGATTTACTGGTCCCCTGGGGCTGGTGACCACGGGCAGGGATGGGGGAGGGGCTTCTTCCCATCCCATCCCCGTGCCAGCGTCCATTTGGGGCATTTCAGGCCTGCAAGCTGTGTAGCACACAGTTGAGGAAACCATTCAGGTCGCAGTCTGTGTGAATGGCGTCTCCTTGAGTTGGGCGATGTATGGATCGTTCCCTGACCCCGCCCTGTGGGCCTCAGGGCAGTAGGTCCCTGTGCAAGTGTCCATCTGTTCTCTCCTGCTCCTCATTTTTGAAAAACTCTGCCTTAAAAGGGTTCCGGCCAAGTACAGAGATAGGCAACTCCTGAGCAAAATCAGAAGTTGGAACCAGTTGGATTTCCATGTCTGGCATGGTCCCACCTTCCTTCTCCCTCCAGCCCACCCCTTAATTCAAGAATCTGGGGCCTTCCTGACCTTTGCCTAAGTCCTGTTCCAACATGTTCTACGTCTGCATCGCTAGGTGTCCTCTCCCACAGGAAATTGCATCTAAGCCTGATTTCTAATTGAGAAACAAAATACAGTGAAGGGACTCCTCCCTTGCGGGGCCTCTCCTCCTGGCCCTGATCAGCAAGAGCCTCCCTGCCTCCTGGGAGGCAAACCAGCTGTGCCATCACCCTTGGGCTCCGACTTCCGTGGATTCAGAGCGAGTCCTTCCTTCTCGGCCCGGCTTCTTCATACATGTGGCAGGAGCATCCCTTGGGTTCTTTCTACTTGAGAGTCAGTAAACCTAGTCGTTAAATGCACAGACTCAGATCAAACTGCTTGGATTCAAATCCAGCTTTGTCGCCTAGCAGCATTATAACCTTAAATATTGTGTTACTGCTCTGTGCCTCAGTTTCGCCATTTTCACAGATGGCAATAATAATATCAGCTCGTGAAGGCATTAGGAGAACTGGAAAGCCCTGACCGGAGCACCTCGTGTGCGAGTGAGCGCTCCACACGTTACCTCTTCGTATCTTATTTATTTGACATAATATTGCATCTCCTCTTGTTTTTCTCATTCTGTCTCAGCTTTGAGACACAGACGCTCCCCTCCTCTTCCCTGCCCTTGCTTCTCTCGGAAAGGAGAGCAGACAGTGTTCTTGTCCCCCCTGAATCCGGGCCTATTGCTCTCCTCTCACCTCCACACCTACCTGGTCGTCGCCACAGAGAAGCAGGCACTTCTCAGGATCCTCGTAACTGGAGCAAAGAATGCAAACAGAAAACAGCGTCAGATATCAAGAACAAGTTCGGGGGGAAATCTGACAAGTGTCCTTTATGTTCTGTTTGTGTTCTATTTGTCGAACGGTTTTGGAGACAGCCGCTTGTTTACTTCCCCAACATCAGAAGTGATTTCGGATTCTCTTCACTTAATCGCGTACTTGCACGGTGCAGGTTCATAATTAAAATAAGAAATCTATTTATGAAGCTGGTGCCGGAGCTGAGAGAGAATCAAGGAGATGCTTTGGCTGATGAATGCTCTGTGAACAGACGCCAAAGCATGTTGCTGGCCTGGAAGGAGGAGCAGGCACTTTTCCGACACGGCCAGGGGTCTCTCCCATCAGAAGGGATTTGGGGGGACCCAGGAAGGGGCACTGAGCTCCCCAACCCTAATGTGTGAGATGGACAGTGAGGGCATTCCTCTTACAGAGAGGCCAGGTTTTTATGGGGAAATGGTGGCAACAGCCTGCGTTGGGTAGATGGCTGACTCCAAGCGTTTGGGTGACCACCGGCTGGTGCCAGGACCTGAGGGAGGGGAAACAACTGCCCGGATGGAGTAAGGCGTAAGCATGGGTGGGGCTGGAGGGAGAAGGGATGAAGAGGCTGGGAAAGAGTAGGGAGAGTGGGTAGGAAGGGTGGGCAGCCAGGTGGCAAGACCTGCCTATGGCGCCTTTCCCAGGGGCCCCACTAATCTTCAGTAATGTCTACAAAAATCACACAGTGCTGGGTGTGGTTGCATTTCTTGTCAAAAGCAGTGAAAGGGCTGAGGGGATGTGAGAGGTGGAGACCCTGCCAATATCTGGGGGATATCAGCATTACCATGACAAAGCTTGCGTGACCTTCTGCGGCTGTGTTAAATTTGACGAATAATTCATCAGTTTATATTAGATTTATTTATTCCAAAGACAGAAGGGACACACTAGAGACATTTCTTTCCTGTGTCAGTACCAAAAATCTGTATGTCTCTTAAGCACCTTAATTGTTATCTTCCAGACACCAAAAGCCACTAATGGTTGCTGTGCCTTTTTCGTGGCTTCTGGGAAGCTCAAAGAGAAATATGCTATTTGTTTCTAAAAATTGTTTAGGGTGTTATGGAGTATGTTTTGTTCATTGCCTTCATTTTCCTATATATATTTTTTGCCATCACCCCATGCATACGTGTGCATCTGTATTATCTTTTATTCTATTCTATTTCATTGCTGTTAAGTGGCCCCAATTCCTCCTTCAGACAGTGGGGTTGTTAATAAACAAAAACACAAATAAACACATTTTGGTCTCTCCTGGAAGTTCTTACTCTCTAATCTTTTACTGCCCAGAAATATTCCTCAAATTTTGTTGTCACATCTGTTTGTCCATCTTTTCTTGACTTCTCACTTTCGAGCCCTTCTTTTGGAAAAGACCTTTTTCACCCTTGCTGCTAATGAAGATGGTCTCTTACATTTCCTTCAAGTTTCTACTTAAAAATTCTCTAAATCTTCACCTGGAATTTGCTTTTCAAGTATACTGTGATAGAAGATCTTAGTTTTTTCCCCCTAAATAAATAGCCATCACTTATTTGTTAGCCTGTTACCCAGTAATTTGCAATGTTTGTTTTATCAAATAGTACTTTCCATATATACACGGGTCTGTCATCAATCTGTTTGGCTCTACTTTGGGCCAGTATCTTACCTCTTTCACTCACTATAAGTTAGGAGCAGCTTTGATAGCTGGCAGTTCATCCTTCCTCATTATTCCTTTTCAACATTTTCTTGGCCATTTTCATATATTTACTTTTCCAGATGAACTTTAGAGTCAACTGTTGAGTTCCAAAACAATCTCGTAGATATTTTATTTGGAATGCCATTGAATTTGACATTTAATTTGAGCAGAGGTGACATCTCCACAATATTGAATTTTTCCATCCAAGAACATAGCTGCTTCCCATTTATGTAGGCTTTCTTTTACATTTTTTAGATAGGTTGTCATCTCTCTAGATAGATCTCACACCCTTCTTGTTAGGGTTATTTCTGGGAATATTCAATTATTTACAGTCACTTTCTTGCTCAGACAGAGAAGTGAGATGGGTAGCTGAGAGTCACATTCCCTTGGCCCAGGTATTCCTGTTAAACAACCACACCAACCTGCAAAGGTTTGACATCACTTTTCCTGGCAAAGACGAGTTCAGCTGCTGTACAATGTTGGAAACACTAGCTAAGAATGATTGGCTAGTTGAGTAAATTACAAAAAAAAAAATCATGCATGTCCTTTAAGAAGATGAAGATCTAAGGCTCTCCACTAAGCTCTCAAAAAGACTTGTTTGGATCAAAAAAATTTTCTCTATTGCTCTTATTTTTTAGAAGATTTTAAAATACAGAATTTAGCTCCTTGCACACTGTCATTCTCCCCAAAACAACTCTTCTCATAATTCTTGAGATTTAAATATCAATCATAAATAATCTGTCCAGTCTACTAGTTTTACACTTCCTTGACCACCTACCTTTCAATAGTGTTATCTTCTACTATATCTCAGTCACTCGTTGCCGTGGTCACACCCTTAATTTTGTCATTGGTAATAACTCACACCCCCTCTACCCCAGAACCTCAACTTCAAACCTCCCCTCCAGTCTCCCCAGTTTACTCCCACTAGCACCAGCTCTGCTCTGGGACTTCCAATCCATTGATCCTAACATACATGCACGTCCCTGACCCTTGTGTCTCATCTCCCTTCATATCTGGCTATGTTCCATGATCACTCATAACCACCTCCTCGCATGTACCCACAACTTTCTTTTATTGCTGTCTTTTTTGGCAAAAGCACGCCCCTGGTGTGACCTGATTCTCCACCTCCCCCATGCCTGACCGACAGGAAATGAGGCCGGACACAAACCACACAAGTGTGCTGAGCGGTCTGACTTCAGACCCAGGACCACAAACCACAGACAGTTCTCAGTGCTTCCCGGCAGCCTCTCCTCACGGGATCATTTTACACTTCCTCCTTTCTCTGAAAATCTCCAGTGCCTCCTTCCCAAGTCCCATCTCAGAAAAGACCTTGCTTCCTGATTCACCAAGAAAATGGAAGCCCTCAAAAGAGACCATACCCCACCACATACGCTCACGCCCAGATGTCCTGGGCCTGGACCCCCACTCAGTCTTCTCTTGGGTCCCCCTCCTCACGGAGACCAGCCCTCCATGTGTGCATGGGATCCTGTCCCCTCTTGCCTACCCGAGGCTGTTCTTCATTATTCCTTCCTTTTTTCTCCTCCATCATCAGTATTCTCCATCATTCCAGTCGGCACACAAACATGCTCTTGGTTCTCTCATTGGGGAAAGTAAAAAAGACTCGTCTGGATCTTCCTGCCTCTCCAACTTCCACCTCATTTTTCTCCTTCCCTCTACGGAAGTTACTTGAGGGAGGGGTTCATAGTGTCGCCTTCATCTCTGTCCTCCTATTCCCACATGAAAGCATTCCCATCAGCCGTTGGCCCCACTTGCACAAAACTGCAGTGACCTCCAGTGGAAATTCTGCAACGGCGATTCTGCGCCCTCATCTTTCTGCAGCTGTGGATGACCCGAGTCACCCCGGGCTCGAGCGCCCAGGACTCAGCCCTTGCTGCCTGTCCGTGTGCCACTGGCCAGTGTGTCCATCAGCCTCACAGCCTCACTTTACCCCTACCTCTTTATGCTGGTGACTCGACTCCTGCTAACACACACTGACCACCTCACATTTTGGAAGCCTATTCCTGGTATCTTGTTTCTTCATGTATCACTTTCTAACATCCCACATAATCATATAGCACATTAGTTGTTTACTGTCTAGATACCAGGCTCCCCCAGGGCAGGGCTGCTTGTCTATTTTATTTGCTGACATATCCCCAGAGCCAAGAACAGTGTCGGGCCCATAATGAGCTACGCTGATCTTTGTGGTTGAAGCACTCATACCCTGCCAGACTGCCCACACCAAGCTGCCTGCACACGCCAGGCATGCCCAGCTCACAGCCTTGTCTGGACGCTCTGTGGCTCACATTCTTCCTTCGAGTCCCCATCGCAGGGGTGCGTGGAGAGCTCTGCCCTGACCCGTGCCCACAGGCTTCCCGGTCCCATCTGTACTCTACTTGACCTCCTTTGCCCTTACTCTCCAACCTGCTGATTTTGCCTATTGCCTGTCTCATGGAGGTTCCCTGGGAACACATGCTCCATTCCCTTCACTGCTGTATTTTCCTCGCTCCCCAAACAGTGCCTGGCACACAGTGGAGGGAGGGACTTACTCAGAAAGCTTCCCTGCTGGAGTTCTCTGTGACCGGCGTCCACACTCATCCTCAGGCGGTGGGTCGGCAGGCAGGCCAGCTGGATGCAGAGTGTCCAGCCCTCCCTCTGCACCCAGGCTTCCCAGGGGCCCTTGCTCACCCTTGGCTGCTCGGCCTCCCAGCCTCATGCCATGACCAGCCTCAGCCAATGGCATAGCCTGTCCCAGAGGCCACAGGGCTCCCTCTTGGACCCAGTGCTCCCACTATGCGCACTCCACTGTGTGTGGCCTTCTTGAATTCTAAACCTGTCCCCACCCAGCCAAACTCAGGCAGTGCCCTCACCTCCTGTGCCCCCCAGTTGAATGAATGTTGGTGTCTAGCATAGCATCCGCTACAGTCCACACATGCTGCCAATCCATTCATTCTTTCACTCTTTAAATATTTAGCAAATATATGCCATGTGCTCAGGCTGATGGGATATAGGAGATAGAATCTTGCCTTCATGGAGCTTATATTCTAATGGGGAGCAGATAATAAACAACCAAATAAATATATGTCAGATGGCAATAATTGCTTTGGAGATAAATAAAGCAGGTTATGGGTAGCAAGGATCCTGGGGGGCAGGGTGAGGTGGAGAGTACATTTCATGTAGGGGGGTCAGAAAGGCCTCACTGAGCAGGAGACAATGTATTGAGCCACGCGATGTCAGAAGGGAGGGACACAGAGGAGACAGAGGTGCATGCAAAGTCCCTGAGG